TGGAAAAGGATGGGGCTCCTTGAATCTGAGGAGGTCAAGATCCATCCCCTTGGAATAACGGGATGGTTAAAGGTGGAAAAGGACAGGGTGGACTCAGATCTGAGGGGGTTGAGATCCATCACTTTGAAATAATGAGATTGTTCAAGGTGGAAAAGGACAGGGTGGGCTCAAATCTGAGGGGGTTGAGTTCCATCCCTTTGGAATAATGGGATGGTTAAATGTGGAAAAGGAAAAGGTGGCTTTGAATCTGAGGGGGTTGAGTTCCATCCCTTTGGAATAATGGTATGGTTAAATGTGGAAAAGGAAAAGGTGGCTTTGAATCTGAGGGGGTTGAGTTCCATCCCTTTGGAATAACGGGATGGTTAAAGGTGGAAAAGGACAGGGTGACCTCGGATCTGAGGGAGTCAAGATCCATCCCTTTGGAATAATGTGATGGTTAAAGGTGGAAAAGGATTGTGGCCTCGGATCTGAGGGGGTCGAGATCCATCCCTTTGAAATAATGGGATGGTTCAAGGTGGAAAAGATCCCAGAGACATAACGTGGCTGAGTGAGGCACTGAGGTTGGAACAGACCTCCAAGGTCACCCTCAGCCCAGCACTGCCACTGTGCCCTCCACTAAACCATGTCCCCAAGTTCTGCAGCCATGTAAGATTTTCACGGAATCATCAAGGTTGGATTTAAGATCATTCAGTGCCTCAGCCAGCACTGCCTCTGGAGCCACATCACCCAGCTCCAGAGCTGGTGTCCCTGGACACCTCCAGGGACAGTGACTCCACCACCTCCCCAGGCAGCCTGTTCCAATGTGTGACCATGCAAACAGTGAACGTTTTTTTCAATATCTAATGTGAATGTTCTCTGTCTCAGCTTGAGGCCAGTTCCTCTTGTCCTTCACTGAGCTCACTCTTGTCACAGTAGGAGAGATGGCCCCAGCTCTCCCGCCCAGAAACATCTTCTCCATTACCAGCTTGCTCCAAGTCTCTTCCAGTCTTGGACACTTCCACCCAGATGTTTCCAGGTGTGCCTGTAATGTGGATAATTAATAACAATGGAATTTAAATCCCGAGCCTGGCTCTCCCGGCATGCAGAGCAGGCTGCTAGTGTCTCCCTTCAGTGCTTGCTTTCAGGGGCACAGCAGCATTGCAGAGGGATTGCTCCGACCTTGGGGTGCCCCATTTCCCTCCAGACATTTCCCAGGCTAACATCAGTGTGCAGACACTGTTCTCCTTGCCCACCACCAGCAAAACTCCTTCCAAGGGTCCTCATTATTGGCAAACGTGTTGGGGAATGTCAGTGCCTGGTTCCATGAATCCTACAGGCATCCCTCTGCCTCCCAGAGCTGCTCTGCTCCTCACTCCCAGGCCCACAGCAGAGTGTTTTCCCTCCACCTGTGAAGGCAAGAACAGGGAATCCATCAGAGTGTGCAGGTGAAAATGGATTGTAACCTGCCCTGCCAACAGCTGATTAACGTTTGTATCTCTGTCAGGATTGATCTTGCAGGTGAGAGCGTTGCAGAGTCCAGCTGGGGCCCTGCTCCTCAGCTGGATGCTCCTTCCCTGGGCTTCTGTCATGGTCTGCTTGGGGTGGGGAAGAGGATTATCCACTGTGGGCAGCTGGAATGCCAAGGACAGGGTGTTATTTCTCAGGTTTGGCATTTCTCCCTCCCCAGCAGTGCAGACCATCTCCCCACTGTGATGACTTTGAGTTCCCTCTCCCAGTCTGATTTGTCGCTCAGACCTCATTGAGGTGGGAAAGCAGCAGGCACTGCAGGCTCTGCTACACAAACCCATGCTGGTGACCCCAAAATGATGTCCAGCATTGAGTTGTGTGTGACTCATAATTGCACATAACAGCAGGACGATCAATTGCATGATTATTGCTAATTATAAAATCAAATCATAAAAGTAAAAGCTGCTTCAAAACAATTAATAGTTTTTTTTTTCTCCTGTGTGGAGGCAAGAATCAAGAAATCTAAATATTTAGCCAGAGATTTCTGCAGTGCTGTGGGGGATTTATTGACAGCCACATCTAGTCAAATCTTCCCCTAGTTCCTCTAGCTCTGTACTGTTTGAATTCCTGCTGGTCACTGAATTATTTCTTTTCTTACTATTTCCTGTGCTTTAAAAGTGGGGAAAGCGCAATCAAATTATCGTCATGCTCATTTGGTTAATCACCCATTTAGTTACTTATTCAGTTCATTAACAAGACGCTAGCTAGTGTCAGTGTGGAGGAAATTCTGAGAGGCAGGCAGTTAGGAGACAGGATACAGGAGAAATAGGCCATTACTCCAGCCCAGTGAATGGCAATTTCTATCCCTCTTTTCTGCTATGTCACTCCAGTGCACAGTTTGTTCTGGATTTAAAAAAAGCAGCCAACAAATATGAAAAAGCATTCTGCTGCAGATCACCGTTGTTTGTTAGATTCCATTTAGGTTCAATCTGAAGCTCTGCAGAAGACCTATTTTAGGACTCCTTTTTTTTCAGTTGAGAAAAATGTGCTGCTCCACAGGTCATAAGATGCCTGTAATTATGACCCCAAATGGATAGAAATGTTGCTTCTTGAGACAAATTCTATCTGACAGTTTTTACAGTACGTTCGTTCAGAGCAAAATGCCCTGTCCCCTGTCACCCGGATTGAAATTATTAAGGAAGACAGACATTTCACTGACAACTCTAGCCTCAGGGGGGAAAATATTCCTTCTGTTCCCCTCTGAAGGTCAGAGCTCACATAATGCAAAACACTTAGAACACACGCGTACACATGCTCACGCACATGCGGATGAAACTTTCTCTTCGGCAGAGCTCTGGATGGGTTTGATGGAAAATAGGAACCCACTGTGCAGGCAGCTCAGGGAGTTTGGGCCAAAAGAGATGGGCCTTGCATTTCTTCAGCGTTAATTCTCATTGTCTTGTAAGTAATCTCTTTCTCCTCTGGTTGTAAATCACATCAGGAGATGGTCATGTGTACTCACATGTTCGTACTTCCCCTCACATGATACGTGCCCAGACGTGGGATCTGTGGGATAGTCACACTTCCCTGATATCTGTTTATTCTTTCAAAACATTTCATGCCTCCTTTTCCGTGCTGTTAAAAGCCCATTTGCAACCTGTATGTCCCATTTCTCACTTGAGCTGCATTGCCAGCTGTCATTTGGCCCAGTCTGTCACCCAGCAGTGTCCCCGTGCTGGGGGTGTGCAGGTCCTCTCCTGGCAGTACAGCAACTCTGGCTACTCCAGAGCTTTTTTTTGCTGGAGGAAGGGGAAAGCCTGGCCCTTCAGTTCCTCCCCAGCCCCGGCTGGACGTGTGAACACAGCAGTGCAGCCGCAGATGAGCTGTCAGTCACCGTGTTGTGCCTGTAGATCACCAACCTCACTTAATCTAGGGCTGAAAATTGGACCTGAGCCAAGGTGACTGGAGGTGAGAAACCAGCCCGCAGCTCATTAACCTCTTCCCAGCACACAAAGGCTCTGTCTTCCCCAGCTTCCCAGCGATTTGGATGGCATCAGGCTCATGCCAGGTCCCTGCTGACCACACACGTGTCCTGGTGTCATTTGCACCGAGTTTCCCTGGCAGGACCCAGCTCCTAAGCACTGACCTGCTTTTCCAGCCTGTCCTAGAAACACTTTCAAGGTGTTAATGGGCAGCTGTCAATCAGCTGCCCTCCCAGAACCCCAGGATTGAGCCCTTCACAGAGCTGGTCTGTGCATCTTTCAGAAACCCCTGGATTAATGCCACCACTTGCCTGTGGACCTGAAGGACCTGCCTGGACCAGCTCATTCCCATGGAAAGAATGTTCTCAAGTGAGCACTGGTACCGGTGACACAGCGCTAGGAAACTTTTGTGCTGAATTTACTCTCAGAAAAAGGGTGGAAATCCCAAATCCCGCTCTCTACTGCCTGTTTCATGCATCCCACCCCACTGTGCTCCTGCCAGGTGGGAACACAGCTCTGTTCTGCCCCAACTCCTACCCCTGTCCTGGCTGCCCTTCCCAGAGGGACACCAGCTCCTGTGCAGCATCTTCCCTCAGATCTGCAAGAATCTCCAAACTTTTCTTTCTTCTTTCTCTCATTCCCTCTTTTTCTAAGTTTAATTCCGAACAGCCGGCTGTGTTCAGCCTGACTGGTTTGTTATGGCTTATAATTTGTGTTAGGATTAATTAACTAATTACCGACAAATGTCCGTTGGCAAGATTCTGCTTCTGCTTGTCAACTTGAAGTATTTAATTATTTTAATCATTTACTTTCATCTTCAGAATTTATGCTCTTCCAAGAGCGTTTCTAGGCATCTTTTAATTATTATTCTGATTTTTTTTCAGAGGGGTGGCGAGCTGGGGGGAGGGAGCTGGGGGATGGGCTCAGTCCTCATTAACTGTTTCAGTGAGGAAATTTCCTTAGAAAGCCATCCGTGGTTTTCAGACACTGGTGCATGGAAGGGACAGTCTGGAATGCAGGTGTGTGGGAATGCACAGAGAGGGATGGGCTGGGCTCTCACTTCCC